CCTCCCTCCCTCCTTCCCTCTCTCCCTCCCTCCCTCCCCCGAGCCACCCGGCGGGGTTTCCCGACTCCCTGTCCCTGGCTGGGCAGCAGGACCAGCTCCCACCTGCGGGTCGGGCACGGCCTGAGCCACCTCGTGTTACAATCTGGGAGTCATTCCCTTGGGAAAGGGAAGGTTTTTTTCCGGCGGCCCAGCCCGTGTGTGTTTTGCAGTGCTCAGGCAGCTTGTGTCTTCATTCTCCTCCCGTTTTCCTGCTCAGGTGTGGGAATGTGAACTTTGCCAGAAGAACCAGCTGTAACAGATGTGGGAGAGGTGAGTCCCCGAGGGGATGAGTCCCCTTGTCTGTTTCTGCCTCTCTAGAAGGAAACTGTTGAGTCTTTTTTGATGAAGCATCAGCCGAGTTGTGTGAGAGTCGCTCTTTGGTTTTTCTTTTTGTTTTCCAGAAAAAACGACAGAAGCCAAAATGATGAAAGCTGGAGGGACTGAGATAGGAAAGACACTGGCAGAGAAGAGTCGTGGCCTCTTCAGCGCCAACGACTGGCAGTGCAAAACGTATGAGCTGCAGGGGCTGCTCCCCCGGGGCTGCAGAGCTGCAGGGGGGTCCCTGTGGCAGCAGGAGGGCAGAGGTGCTGAGCAGAGCAGCTCCTCTGCTGGCTGTGCAGGCAGCCCGTGCTGGGCAGCAACCACCTCTTGGCATGGCTGGAAATTGACAGTACTGGAAAAGGGGCTTTAAAAAATCCAGGCTAGACAGGTAAAAGTTCCTGTTCTGCTTTGATAAGCTGAGAGATTTCTTAAGCTCAGAAGAAACGTGAAGCTGGGAGTGACACCTGCATTGCCCTGTGGTGGTTTATGGTAAAAATTCACCAAGTGCTTTGTGAGCAAAGCTCAGCACGGAGTTAAATTCTTGGGTGTTCCTCCAGGCTGTCAGTGGAGAACATAGAGATCTAAGTTAGAAGAGAACTGCTTCAGCAGAACGTTTGATTTCTGAGGGGTGCTTGCAGGTGCTCAGGAGCACGTTGAAGTATTTCACATTCTGCCCAGTGAAAGCTGGATTGTTTTATTCTCTCTGCCAGGAGGTGGCTGTCCTAGTACTGCAGCACAACACGTGAGCTTTTTATTTGAAAGGCAATGTTTCCCATTTCTGTCCTGTTGTTCTTGCCCCTGAAGCTGTGGAAACGTGAACTGGGCCAGGAGGTCAGAGTGCAACATGTGCAACACCCCAAAGTACGCCAAGCTGGAGGAGAGGACAGGTGAGGGCTCTCCAGGAACACTTCTTACACATCTCAGTGCAGCTTAATTGAAGGGGTTGTTCTCAGCAGAACTGGCAAAGCTGGATGATCTCCCACACCTGAATGAATCTGCTGGTTCTCAGGCTTGCTGGCCTGTAGTGCTGTGAAGTGTCTGAGGGCTTCCTTGAGGAGGTCCCTGAATGCTCAGGTTAAACTGCCTCGGTGTCTGATTTTGATCCCAGGGCAGCTGGAAGGAGTGATCCAGTAATTCAGTAACCACTGGTGTCCATGTACAGAGGGCTCTGCAGCCCCAGGAGCAGTGCCTGGGGGCTCTGTTGCTTGGGCTGTGATCTCTTCATGAGGCTTGAGGTGCCTTTTGAGCTCCTGCATTAACCATGAGCCAGTGGTGCCTGGAACAGAGGATTCCTTACAGTCTGGGCACAGCTGCTGTCACACTGCCAGCAGGATCAGGTGGAGAATTTAATGCAGTGTGACACACTGGAAAAGAAGCGTGGAGATGAGCACAGAGCTTGTTATCCAAAAGGAAAAGGAATATTTTTAATATTCTTATTGATTATTTTAAGAATATTAATGAATCATGTTCAATTTATTTCAGATAAGATTTCATAGCACTAAATATTTTTTAAATATTCTATTTTTTTAAAAGGCTTGGTTACTTTTTCAAAGTTCTGGTGCCCTTCTGGGGAGCTGGGTGCTCAGCAGGCTGTCAGCCTGACTCTGTTTTCATTGCTGTTGTTTCTGGGTTGGTGATGTCTCTTCATCCATGTTCTCAGGTTGGGTTTCTGGGGAACTCTGTTTAATAAAGGTGTCTGGGAACAGTTCCTGTTCCCCTTGGGATCACGTCACGCTCTGACAGGTGATGCCCACCAGTCTGCTGAAGGCTTCTAGAACCTGAGAAGGTTTATGCTGGGCTTGGTGCTTGGTGGGGCTGACCTGGTGCAGCTGAAGAGATTGTCTGTTCTGCCCCTTTCTCAAGGCTACGGAGGAGGGTTCAACGAGCGGGAGAACGTGGAGTACATAGAGCGGGAGGAGTCAGACGGGGAGTATGATGAGGTGAGGGGGGGGAGGGGGCACCTGGGGGGGCATGGGGCACCCAGGGAGGGCATGGGGCACCCAGGGAGGGCATGGGGCACTTGCCTTTGCTTTTGGTTTCCTTACAGGGAGAAGCACGGCTCAGGAGGACACTGTGCTGTGTCTCTGGCACGTGCTGAAGTGGGAGGGTTTTGAACTGAAAGTGCATCTGCTTGGTCTTTGGGGGGTTTAGAAACTTAAGAATGAGTTCAAATTTAACTGGTACAGGTTATGTTCATTGAACTTGTGAGGGAGGTGGCTTTAAGGTCATAGAATCACAGACTGGTTTGGGATGGGAGAGACCTTAAAAGATCACCTAGATCCAACCCCCCTGCATGGGCAGGGACACCTCCCAGCAGCCCAGGCTGCTCCAAGCCCCATCCAACCTGCCCTTCAACACTGCCAGGGATGGGGCAGCCACAGCTTCCCTGGGCAACCTGGGCCAGGGTCTCACCACCCTCACAGCACAGGATTTCTTCCTAATATCTAACCTAAATCTCCCTCTACCAGTTTTAATCCATTCCCCCTTGTCCCAGTCACTGCAAGCCCTTGTCAACTTCTGTGTTGTTTTCAGGTAGATGTTCAACATAGTTTGACAAAGATATCCCACAGGCACAGACACAAAACCTCTTGTAAATTCAGATCTTCATTAGCCTTGTCTGTGGGTGCTTGTATCTAACACAAGCTTCTCTTCAGAAAGGTTCCTGTTGCCAGTTGATGTCTCATGACACTCTTCCTTCCCTTTGAGGCAGTACCTTGTTTGAAATTGATGTGTATTTATTTTCTCATAGAAATGTAGTAAAACCCACAAAGTTGGAAATTACTTTTGGTTGAATCATGTTCTAATGGGATGAAATGTCTTAGTTTGGGCGCAAAAAGAAGAAGTACAGAGGGAAGCCAGTGGGTCCTGCATCCATCCTGAAGGAAGTAGAAGATAAGGAATCTGAAGGGGAAGATGAGGAGGATGAGGATGAAGATCTCTCCAAATATAAATTGGATGAGGTAGCATGCTTTGTTTTGGTTGGGGTTTTTTTTCTAGCAATTAGTTTTTAATTACTTCTGCATTGCAGTTGAGCAGTGGGAGGTGAGGTTGGTCTGTTTGCAGCTGCCTCTAGAGCAGTTTGGAGGGGCAGCTGTCAGAGTCAGGGTCCCCACAGCTGCTGGAAAGCATCTGCACGTGCTCTGCTTTGTTCCAATTCAAAGATGCATCATTTTTCAAAGTAGTTTATCTGAGATCAGAATCAAAAGTGTCAAGATGTTTCTTTGGAACCTTCATGTCTAGTTGCCCTGGAGAGGGCACAGTCTTGAATTCTGTTCTTAGCCTTTTAAAACCACATCAGAGTTCTCTTACAAAATGGAATGAAATATTCAGAGAATTTTTGTCTCTTATCTTTCCTGAAATACATGATGATCACACACTGGGCTGTCCACATCTTTGGACAGCATCTTGCAGAGATATGCATATATGGTAATTTTTAACACAGCAGTCACACAGCGTCTCTGCAGGATTGTGCTGTGCGGGTAGATTTGGGACCTGAAAATTCTTCCAGGCACTGGGATAAATCAGTCTCTGTGTTTTCATTAATGTTAGTTAATGTTAATTAAGATGAGACTTCAGATGGGTTTTCTGCAGGCTTTTTAACAGTTTGCTTTGAAACACAAATTTTTCAGTCACTCTTAAAACGTTTGGATCTCATTAAATGCACCAACAAAGGCTGGGGGGAGAAAAGCACAAACCACAGAATAAATAAAAAAGCACCAGCTGGGGGACGACAAATATTCTGTAAGCACTTGTGGTGAACCTGCTGGTTTCCAGGATGAGGATGAAGATGATGCTGACCTGTCAAAGTACAACCTGGATGCCAGCGAGGAAGAGGACGGCGCCAAGAACGCGCAGCCCGGCAGGCGCAGCCGCTCCAAGTCTCGCTCCTCCCACTCTCGCACCTCGTCGCACTCATCCTCTCACTCGAGCTCAAGGTCTAGGTCCAGGTAAACGGGTACAGGTCAAGGGTAACGCCAGGCAAAATGTCAGTATCTGACTTCTCTATTTACCTTTTTTCTTTTTATTTTTTTTTCCTCCTTGATTGCCTTACAGTTTCAGTTTAATTACGATAATGGTTTCGTGTCGAGAATTTACCTGGGTAGATAATGTTTTGTTCTGACCTCCTGTGGGTCCTCAGCAAGGAGGCTTCTGGTTGGTTGCTTCTGTAGACCTAAGTTGATATTTCATTTGAATCCTTCCAATACATTTAAAAGCATGTCATTTTTGATAGCATTTTAGACTTGTTGGCCACCTGGGATTCAATGGGTGAACTCTTCTTAGCGCTGTGGAGTTGCTGGACGGGGAGGCAGAGGGGGGTGGTTCTGCTGAAGTGGGAGGAGGAGCAGGAGAGGGCAGTGATGGTGCAGTCCAGGCAGACTCCAGATGGAAGAAAGCCTGGAAGTAAAAGACAAGAAACTTGAACTGAGCTTGATGGTAACTGAGAAAACTTTAAGTACAGTGGCAATATTGTCAGATTAAAAGTAAAAGTTTACATTGAGCCTGTCTGCTGGGTGGATTTATTACTATTTCAATTCAGTAACATACAATAAATGCTTTGTAAGCATGTGGTGTAAATGTAGCTTTTCAGCTGCCTTACAGCTATCACTCAGATGATAGTGATGGGTTTAAGACCTCAAATCCCTACCAGTTCATAGGGTTATACATAAAGTTCAAGTTTCTTCTGATCTCCTCAGCTGTGTAACTGCACCTCTCTGCTCCCACTGCTGTGGTCACTGCCCAGGTTCTTCAGCCACTCATCTGGCTATGCCCTTTGTTTGTTCATACACAGATGTTAATACTGAAGTAAAAGCTAGCTTGTCATAGCTGACATTTGCAGGGATCTGCCAACTTTGAACTTTTTGCTTCTAGCTGCAGAATCAATTGGAAATACCAGTTGCCATTTGTAGATACTTCTTTGTTTTTTTTGAAAAAGGTTTCAATGTATTTCCTAGTTAACAGGTGTCATACTGCTGCTGTTTTGCACAGTGAAATGAAAAATGGGAGCAATATCAAGAACATGTGTAATACACTTTTCCTGAAAAGATTAATAGGATTTGATGGCAATGCCTTCTTTTTACAATGGTTGATGCAAGTCTGCTACCATCTTTACATATCTTTTGTGGTTTGTGCTTTAAAGAAAATCCATCAGCATGAAAAATGTGAAAGTAGTTTTGGCTGGTTACAGGTGGTGTTGGGTATGGATTTTAGGCAAGAATTAATTACTAATTAATTTTTAATGCAGGGGAAAATTTTGAGGAAAACTTGAAAGTGCTTACAAACTGCTTGTGAGAGCTGACTGGGGGAAGATTTGAGCCAGGTGCTCCTAATGCTCTTACCTGCTCCCTGTGGAGGAACTGATGGGTTTCAAGTTGAAGCACAAACTAAAAGTTAAGGCATTGATGTAATGAAATGGTTAATACACGTGCAGTTGTTTCATTTTGGCAAATAACTGCCATCCTGTTTACATTTCGTGCTTTGTTTTAGGAAATGTGAGAAAAAGTTGACTTTATAAATGTTTTGATGCACCATCTTACTATATGTTAAAGTTTCTGTTCTAAAATGTACTGTTGGTGATGCTGGGGGGTAGGAGGAAACTGTCCCTTCTCTAGTGGCTGCAGGCCAACTTGTCCTGATGTGGTGTTGTTGTCTCTGCTGCTGACAGCAGCAGTTACTCTGCTAAATGCCAGTCAGACACTGGAAAAAAAAAAAAAAAATCTTCCCTGTTGTTTCAGGTCCCATTCAAGAAGTTCTTCCAGTTCCAGATCAAGATCTCGTTCCAGTTCCAGAGAACAGTCTAGATCTCGTGGGTCGAAATCCAGGTGAATGAGGTAGCACCACTCTCTCCTCCCAGGGAGAGGAAAGGGCAGAGGAACCAGCCACTTGTTGAGTTCATCATTAAGTTTTGCTGGTCAAAAAAAACATTAACTCATTTTTATCTTGGAAGTCAGAATTCCTGGGGTCCCTGCACCAGGTTGTTTCCAGTCCAGAGGTATTTCTTGGGAATGCCAGGTGTTGGTTGAAGAGTGTAAGTCTGACCTAAGCTAGACGAGTGGACGCCACAGATCTGCACTGGGAAGGAAGAAGAATTTGAATGCATGGTTATTTCCTTCAGGAATTTTTTGCTGGTTTTACTGTTCCCACTTTGGCTCCTTGATGTGGAAGAGCATTAGAAAACACGCTGTGCTTCTGGGTTTGTGTTAGTGGTAACTTTGAATGTATCTGAATTCCACGAGGTAGTGCTGCCAGTATCTTCTTGAATGTGTAAAAACATTGATAGGAAACAATGTGAGGAGCTTGAGTTAGCTGGTGTTTTCTATGTAGCAGGGACTGAACTGTGGAGGAGGAGTATTCCTTGAGGTGTCCTGGCACGGGCATCCTGGTGGCAAGGAGGACCTGCCCCATGTCCAGGCATGCAGAGAGTCTTAAAGCTGTAAATAAGGAAGTTTGAGCTGGGAAGACCCACCCCAAATGGTGCTGCCACCGTTTGGTGGCAGAAACATGCTGTGGATTATCCCATCAGGGTCAGCATGAGATGGGATCCCTGCTTTTAGGAAGAGAAGAAGGGGACCTGTGCTCCACTCATCACTGAGCTGGGTTATTTACTTCTGGACACAACATCCCCTGGGTGTCTGTGGTGGATCAGCTTGAGTGAGGCAGGGCTGATGGCCAGTTACAGTAAGAACCCTGAAAATATCTTGCCAACAACATACACTGTGTTGGTTTGGATTTTCTTAGTATTTTATCCAGCTTACTTAAAAAAAGAAATCCTGTTAGGTGTTTTTATATAATTTTGGAATTACAGTTCAGGACTTTGTAACTCTACTACTTTTTCCATAAGTGGGTTTTTCCCTTTTTTTTTTCTTTCTCCTCTTTTCAATGACCAAAGTGATTTTTTGAGTGCATGTAAGTGTTGGTTCATTTTGTTTGAAACTGCCAAAACTACTGTATTCTTAAATATTTTGCTGTGGAAGGTCTTCCTCCCCACCTCAGTTGATGTTGGGGTTTGCAAATGCACCTTCTGAGGGTTTTTATTTACTATTCTAGTGAAGAGTGAAATGGCTAGTGAAATATCTATTAATTTGCAATGAAGGGTGGTTGATCAGCATTACACCTGTGGTTTTCCAGCCATTTTGCTCTGGGAATTACCCACTGAGGAAAGTCCTTACATAGGCTGCATCCTGCCCCAGCTTTCCCAGCATCCCCTTGCCAAAAGGCGTCGTTCTGGTGAAGGCTGGAAAGAGGTTTCCAAACCACTGGTGGCCTCTAGATCAAGAAACCCTGTTTAGCAGGATGTATTGAGAAAACTACCCTGGCAGTTGAAGTCTCTATTGACAGATAACTATGGAGTAAGTATTAAAGCATCCACAGATTAATTGGATAAAACTCTTGATGTGACTAGAGTAGTGAGTGTTCATGAAGACTTGTCTCTTTTTGTTCTTTTGATGTTATACCAGAATTAAATCTGATTTATTTCTTAATCAATAAAGATCCAGCTCCAGGTCCTACAGGGGGTCTTCCACCCCAAGGAAAAGATCTTACTCAAGCTCTCGTTCATCATCTTCCCCCGAGAGAGGCAAGAAGAGAAGTCGTTCTAGATCCTCTTCATCTGGTGATCGCAAAAAAAGACGATCGAGATCACGGTCACCCGAAAGGTTTGGGTTTATGTAGAATAAGAATGGGTGTCTTTTACATGTGTGGTTTTTTTTATTATTTTACTGTTATTATTATTTTCTTACTGGAAGGACTGGGAAAGAATTTGATCAGTTATTCTGATATTAAAAGTAGTTTTCTCCCTTCCCCTTACTGCTTCCTATTAAATCCTCTGTAATTGCTTCCCTCCCCCCATCCAGTGAAACTTCCTCCTGCTGGGAGCATGTTCCATAGAGAGACTGTCTGAAAAGTGTTAACCTGTACATTACTGATTTATCTTCATAAGTAAATACTGCATTTAGAAATTGTATTCTAATTTCCATATTAAACTTAACATTTTTAGTATTAAACTCACATTCATGAGCTTAAAGTGGTTTAAAGCTACCTTTTATACTCGTGTAAGGCCCCTATCAGATATACTTGGCTTCCAGCTATTGTAGGATGCAGACTACTCACAGTGGATGCTGGAATTAATGCCAACTTATTTCTTTGCATGCTTTCTCCATTTGTATCTTGCAGACGCCGCAGATCTTCATCTGGATCATCCCATTCTGGTTCCCGTACAAGTTCTAAAAAGAAATAATGTATTAAAGGTCACATTGGGGGGGGAGGAAAAAAAATCAAACAAAAAAAAAAACCAAAACAAAACAAATTCCAGTCAGTGCATGAGACATTTTTAAGAAGTTGGTGTCTTACTTGGTCAGAAGTGCTAAATCTGCTAGTAGAGGTGCATGTCTGTCCTTGCTTTCTGGAAAACTGCAGCTTTGTTCATTCATGAAACAAAAAGTGAGGTAGCATTTTAAGCCATAAACTCCCCAGAGGAGGTGTGCAGATTTATTACTGGAGTAAGGGGGTTTTTTATTACTTTTAAAGACTCAGTTACTCAGTTCCTGCCTGTCTTACATGTACGAGCAGGCACAGCTCGGATGTGTTCTGACACAACTCTGCTCTTCATGTGACCATTACAAAAAACAGTACTTGAGGAATATGGAAGAGCCCATGAGCTTTCTGCATCCAGCTCCTGAGCTGCTCTGGTGTAGCTGGGATGGGACCACAGGAGACTAGTGTAGCTGTAGGGCAGGTGTCACCCCTCAGATGACAGTAGTGAGTACTTAGGTCTGATTGTTTCTTTATTTCTCTGTGTTGAGGTTAAAGTGCAGCTGGATGCCCCTTTTTCTCTTTAGCTCTGCTCAGTGCAAAGTAGTTGTTAAATACCCAGAGCACCAAGTGATTCTCTAGAGTGCATCAGACTTCATCCCTTGGCAGCCCGGGTGACTGAGACCTGGGGCACCTCTGGGTTGCTCCAGGCTGGTGGCTGCTGGTGCCTGTCCCTGTAGAACTGATCTGCTGCAGTCAGCAAGGTGCATGGACCCTGGACTCAGCCGTCCTTTCTTGTAAAAGGATCATTTAGGAACTACTCTTGAGATGGAGGAATCTGGAACTAGCTTCTTGGAATGAAGTGAAGCTTCTGCAGGCTGTCTAGAATTCATTTTGGGCTGACTAAAATTTTCAAGGTATCTGAATTTAATTTATCTTTTAAAACAAATAAACTATGTAGAAAGTTCTGACATCTTAAATGTGTTCTTCATCAATCATTCTTATTCCCCTAAACATAATTTATGGCTTAAAATGCTTTATTGAATCTATTTTACTAGCAATACCCCATTAAAACTCAGTCTCTCTTGAGCTCCGTTTGGTTAAGGTTTAAGTATCGTCAGTCCATCACAAGGTAAGTATGTTAAGGAGAATTCTTGGTTTCAAGGAAGCAAACAGCAATGTGTATGTACTGATTTGAGTAGCAGAACTTGCAAACCCATGTTTGACCACTGCTTTTTCAAATGAACTGCACCAAAACAAATGGAGCAAAGTTCAAAACCTACATTCTCTTTTTCTTTTTCTTTTTTTAAGACACTTCCTTTGGGCTGGTATAAGCAAAACGTTTTTGGTGCAGGGATATTTTGATTAATCTTTTTGCAGAAGAAAAATGCTCTGCAGTTTCTTCTTTAATGCTTTCTTTTCTCTCTGATTTCAATGCTAAATGTGTGTAGGTTGCACAAGAGCAGGTTAGTCTTGTAACTGTGCCTCTGACGACTCCAGCCTCCCAACTACTAACTTGTAAAAACCAGATCTAATAGATGCTCTGTTGTTAGCCTTTGGTTTTTCCCTTGTGCTTTGTATTAAAACTGTTGCTGTACTTAACAGATGGAAGTTTTTAAATTTAGCAAACGATAGGCTACAGACAAAGGCAAATTATGGTTTCATTTGGCTTAGATAAAATGTAAGGCAAACTGATTCTGTAGACAAGTGTAAATAAAACCTGTGAGTCAACTGTGCAGTGAGTGCTTTCTCTGGGAAACAAACAGCAGCACATTGTCTTTTTAACCAGCACCAACAGATGAGTTTGTGGTGGTTGTTCTCTGGCCCTGCAGTGCAGGAAGGGCAGTGTGTGCACTTAGCTGGCCAGAGGTACCATAAACCTCTGGATTGGTCCCCTACTGTGTTTGGATTCAAGCACAGCATGTTTAAAATGAGCTTTTACAAAACTCCCAGGTGTTTGTTCTCTGTGTGTCCCATATCTTCTTTTCAGGAAGTTTTTAGAGGATGGAATATGTTTAAATTATTTGTTGGTTCTCTGACCAGTTGTTACCTGTGTCAGGAGCCAAGCCAGGTCCCACCAAGCTCCTGAGATCATGAGGACATAGAAAGGGCATAAAGCTACAGGTGGTTCAGAGCAGGGCTGTTGGGGTGGTCAGGTGCTCTCTTGCCTTGGAGCTGGGGCTGATCTTTTTATTTATTTGTGGTTAATCAAGCCACTTGGAGCCTAAGAACAGAGAAGCTACTTCGTTGAGCCTGAACTGTGCTAAAACAGTCTTGAGACTCATTTTGGTTGGAAATGACCTGTAAGACCATCCAGTCCAACTGTTCCCCCAGCCCTGCCCAGGCCACCCCTGCCCCATGTCCCTCAGCACCACATCTACAGGGCTCTGAGATCCCTGCAGGGATGTGGAATCCACCACTGCCCTGGGCAGCCTTGAGGGGAATAAATTGTTCCCAAGATCCAATCTCAACCTCTCCTTGCACAACCTGAGCCCATTTCCTCTTGTCCCATCCCTTGTTCCTGGGGAGCAGAGCCCGACCCCCCTGGCTCCAACCTCCTCTCAGCAGCTGCAGAGCCAGCAGGTCTCCCCTCACCTCCTTGTCTCCAGGCTGGACACCCCCAGCTCCCTCAGCTGCTCCTCTAGGACTTGTGCTCCAGCCCCTTCCCCAGCCCCACTGCCCTTCTCTGGACACGCTCCAGCCCCTCCATGTCCTTCCTGTCCTGAGGGGCCCAGAAGTGACCCCAGGACTGGAGGTGCAGCCTCAGCAGTGCCCAGCACAGGGGGACAATCCCTGCCCTGCTCCTGGAGGCCACACCAGTGCTGATACCAGAGAG